ATCAGATTAGAATGGTACCTGAGGATATTCCAAAAACTGCTTCCAAGACTCACTCAGGCCATTATGAATACCTTGTCATGCCATTTGGTTTAACAAATGCCCCTTCTACATTTCAATGTCTTATGAATCATTTGTTCAAACAGTTTCTAAGGAAGTTTGTATTGGTTTTCTTTGATGATATTTTGGTTTATAGTATGCATCTACAAGACCATGTACAACATCTCCAACAAGTATTTGAAGTTATGAATTCTAATAGCTTGCTAGCTAAACACTCTAAGTGTGCTTTTGGAGTGGCAAAAATGGAGTACTTGGGCCATTTCATCTCTGCTGCAGGAGTTTCCACTGATCCAAACAAAATTTTGGCTGTTCAACAATGGCATGTGCCTACTACTCTTAAGCAACTCAGGGGTTTTCTTGGTCTTGCTGGCTATTATAGGAAGTTCATCAAGAATTATGGTCTTATCAGTCAGCCTCTCACTGAATTACTCAAGAAAGATAGCTTTAAATGGTCCACCAGTGCTGAGTAAGCATTCATTGCTCTGAAGAAGGCATTAACCACTGCTCCTGTCTTGGCCTTGCCCAACTATTATGCCCCTTTTGTGGTAGAAACTAATGCTAGTGGAATAGGTATTGGGGCTGTTCTTATGCATGAGGGTCATCCTGTGGCCTTTATCAGCAAAGGCTTGGCCCCTAGGCATGCTGCTCTTTCTGTTTATGAGAGGGAACTTCTGGCCCTTGTTTTTGTTGTGAGCAAGTGGTCTCATTACCTCATGGGTCAGCATTTCATTATAAGAACTGATCAGAAGGCTTTGAAGTATCTTCTCGAGCAGAAGATCCATACAGATTCACAAATCAAGTGGATAGCCAAGCTTTTACCCTTTGATTTTGAGATCCAATATAAGAAGGGCAGAGAGAATATAGCTGCTGATTCTTTGTCAAGGGTTAAAGGTGCTGAACTAATGTCATTGGTTGTCTCTTCTGTTTCCACTGAGTTATGGGAAGAAATCACTGCTAGTTGGTCTTCTGATCCTGAGTTACATTCCCTAATCTTGTCCTTACAACAGGCTCCTCAAAAACATTTAACTAGGATTAATCATCAACTTAGAAGAAAAGGGAAGTTGGTGATTGGAAATGATGTTGCCTTGCAAACTAAGCTGCTTACCTTATGGCATTCCACCCCAACAGGTGGCCACTCTAGGTTAGATGCCACTACCAGGAAGGTGCTAACCTATTTTTATTGGAAGGGTATCAGGAAAGACATTGCAACCTTCATTCTTAATTGTACCACTTGCCAAAGGAATAAGAATGATACATCAGCCTCTCCTGGTCTTCTCCAACCTCTCCCTATCCCTCCTTTGCCTTGGACTAACATTACCATGGACTTTATTGAGGGACTTCCAAAGTCCAATGGTAAGACAGTCATTTGGGTCATAGTTGATCGTTAACCAAATATGGTCACTTCATTGCTCTCACTCATCCATATACTGCCCACACCTTGGTTCCTATCTTTTTGGACAACATTTTTAAACTACATGGTTTCCCTGCTTCTATCACCAGTGACCGAGATCCTATCTTTATCAGCTCTTTTTGGAAAGAATTCCTTACAGCTCAAGGCATTACTTTGCAAACTTCTAGTGCTTACCACCCTCAAACTGATGGCCAAAGTGAGGTGCTCAATAGGTGTCTCGAGACTTGTTTGAGGTGCTTTTGCACTGACTCCCCTGCAGATTGGTCTTCTTTTTTACCCTTAGCTGAATGGTGGTACAACTCCACTCCACACTCCTCGACTAAAACCTCTCCTTTTGAACTTCTATATGGCTATCCTCCTCCCTTACATTTACCATTCCTTCCTGGGATTCTGAATCTTCTTCTGTTGAAGACATCTTGCTACTAAGAGAATTCAAACTTCAAATGGCCAAATTTCATGTACATAGGGCTCAGCAATGAATGAAAGCCCAGGCTGATGCTCACAGATCTGATAAGAGCTTCAATGTTGGGGATTGGGTATTTGTTAAGTTACAGCCTTATCGACAGTCTACCTTGGCTGGTTCTCCTTATCACAAGCTCACTTCTCGTTACTTTGGCCCATATCCCATTGTTGAAAACATTGGTGTTGTTGCCTATAAGCTTATTCTACCTCAAAGGTTCTTATCCATCCCACCTTCCACATTTCTCAGCTCAAACTTTGCCATTCTCTTCCTTCAGAAATTATTCACCCACCTGTCCTTGACCTTTCCAGCCACCTTTGCCCAGTTCCTGAGGCCGTTCTCGCTCGACGCTTGATTAAGAAGGAAAACAAGGCTGTTGCTCAGTGCCTTGTCAAATGGTCCAACTTAGATGCTTCTTATGCCACATGGGAATTGGCTTCTGCCCTTCGCACTCACTTCCCAGCTTTCACCCTTGAGGACAAGGGTGATCTTCAACAAGGGGGTATTGATACACACATTTCAGCAACGTCCAACGTGGAAGCTGAGTAGGATTATTTGGAAATTAGGTGTGTAGGATTGTTTGAAAGTTAGTTGGCGGGAAAGGTAGTTATTTTCATTTCTCCATTTTTCAGCATTCTTTTCATCTTCATTTTCAATTCCAATTGTATAAGTAATGAATTACAATAGATGGAAGATAGATTCAAATAGATAATACTGATTCTCTCATCTTCTTCTTCTAATCTCTCTCTCTTTTCTCTCTTTTCTCTATCTCTCTCCTATGTTTCCTCTCCCCTTTCCCTCAATTTACTGCTCCATTGAAGTGTTGATACCTTATTGGTATCAGATGTCTCTTTATCTTCCACTCTCTTGACACACACTCTCTCTCACACACACACACTTAGGTTATCACGTTCGCTGACTATACAAGTCGTAAATGGGAAAAGAGGGTTTTGCTAACCTAGTACATAGTTGTAGTAGGTTAGCATTGTATACATATTTGAGTTCTCTAAAATACCCTTATTATATGCCACTATTTTGCGTTACTAACGGGGACAGTTTTGACTTTGCCCAAAAGAAGTCCCCCCCCTCCCAATCTAGCAATCTCCCGTCCTCATTATCAAGCTCCAAACCTATCTTTTCAGCAAACCCTTCTTCTTCAATATTTGGATTTTTGTTCTTAACATATGCTATAATTTATTAATATTTGGCCTTTGCGACTGAAACCATGGTCATGTAAGAATTGTTGGGTGAGAACAAGTTGAAAAAAATTCAAGAAAAAGATGAAACCTAATTAAAAAAGGACATGAGAAGAAAACACAAAGCTGCCTGCGGTTAAAAAAGAAAACACAACCAACTCCATCAATCGGTTAAGTATATTTCTACGAAGACTCATTGTTTCTATGCCCAATTAATTTGTTTCAATGACTTAATACTAGGCAAACTCAAAATATATTACTCCCTATCATCAGTTTATTTCATTAGGTTGATAGATTGAGAATAAATTTTTCTTCTAAAATGGAGTGGAAATTGCATCAAATAATTGGGTGTGTCGAGTGTGAACTGCTAGAAGAAACGAGGGTGCTTCTTTTGTGCAAAGTCGAAACTGTCCCCATTATTAATGGAAAACAGTGGCATATAATACGGGTATTTTAGAGAACTCAAATATGTATACAATGCTAACCTACTATATATATATATATATATATATATATATATATATATTAAAATTTATTAAATTTATAACAAATAAAAGTATGTATATGTGAACTTAAAATTTTAAATATATAATGAGTTCAACACTAAAATCTTAAAAGTTAAACTCATAAAATTTAAGTTCTAGATCTGCTTCATTTATTCCATGCACCCTTATCAAAATTTTCAAAGTGTTGGCTTTACTTCTCTTTCATGCGCTGTCAATTCTCATGTCATAATTTTCAAAGTATTTGGCTTTACTTGTCTTTCATAAGCATCTTACACAATTACATTAATATATGAATTAGTGCTATCACTTCACTATTCTATGGTTGGAGCCTCTTTTTCAGGCATTTATGTCCCTTTCCACTCTCCTCTTTTATTGATCCAAGACACCATTTTTTGTATTTTGTTATTTTCTTACACCAATCAAAGTTCCATTCATGCAAGCAAAAAGTTGCAAGTTTTCTTTGAATTACAGAGTTGTTGTCACTGCAATATATATTTGGCTTTTGCATCAATCCTCTACTAATTTTTTTCTGGATTTAAATTATATGCACCGACAGTGTAAAAGTTCTTTTGGTATCAGTATATTTTAATGTGTTATAACTGAGTACTTATAGTGGCGGATACAATCCTTGGACCACGGGTTCATTCGATCCAGTATTTTCCAAGTAATGCATAAATATATACGGTGTAAATACTCACTAAAATTTCAACATTTATCTAATTGGAACCTATAATCTTAAAATCTCCGGAAATAGCCTCTTCACAAGGTAGGGGTAAGGTCTGCGTACATACTACCCTCTCCAAACCTCACTTGTGAGAATACACTGGGTATGTTGTTGTCGGTGATTAATCTTAAAATTTTAATAAATTCATACTAAGAACCTTAAAGGTCAAATCCATTAAATCTAAATCTTAGATTCGCACTTCGGTTACTTATTATGACCAACTACTTAGGAGTCGTTTGGTTCGGAAACAAGTTATGCTGGGATTAGTTATGCTGAGATTAGTTATCCTGGGATTAATTATGCTAGGATTTGTTATCCTGGTATTATTTCTTATTGATTGTTTGGTATATTGTATTAATCTTGAGATTGTAAATTTACTGCTTTATCCTGTGATAACTTATCCTGGGATTACTATTCCACCATCTGGCAGGCATTTATCCTGAGACAATTTTAATTCCTAGAATAACATATCCCAGGATTAGTAACCAAACAAGGGATAGGGCGATACTAAAGTCTTATCCTAAGACTATTCTTGCTTATTCATCATACCAAACGACTCGTTATTATTATCTTTTAAGTGACGTGATAGTATAATTTTTTTTTTAGTAAGGTGTTCGAGCCAACTCTATTATGAGAAGTTTCCTACGTAGATTCTTGCACTGATTTAGTCCTTTATTAGAACACACAAACCTGCATATGCAAACACTTGCTATATATACACATAGGGGCCAATTGTATAGTTTAACTAAAAGAATAGGAAGCCAAGGGAATTACCAAATGGGGAGTCTTCAAACTAAGGATAAAAGCAATCCAAATGCCAAAATTATTGAAGGGTTGAAGTATAAAGTAAGGCTTCTTCAAACTGAGGTGAGTGAAATTATGGGCATAAGGGAATATGAGCCTCAACCTTACCAACAAGAGATGATTATTTTTGCATTAAAAGAAGCAGAGTGGAAACAAGAAAAGAAGAAACTTAAAGAGGAAGTGAATAAATTGAAAAAGAAGTTGGAAGAAAAAGAAGAAGAGAAATTCAAAGGAGTGGAAAATCATGAAGAACAAGTTAGAAGAGATGAGACAATTGAGAAATGGAAACAGCTCTATTTTGCTATCAAAATTGAACTTGATGAACTTATACAGAGGACAAATCAAGGTATTTTTCATTTTCTTGTTATGCGTATCAATTATCATAATGTAATAATTGCTGTCATTTCACAATTATAGATCAGATTTTCATGGTCTTTTTTTGGTTTATGCCCTTCTCAGGTTATTTGCTATTGATTAAAAAAATAGTCCTTGAATACCCTTGAATAGCCTACTGGCAAAGGGTGTTCAAAATTTGAACACTCTTATTGAATATTCTGGCTTTGCCACTGATAGAGTATAAAGCCTTAAGGGACTTCATTCCCGAGGGCTTGAACTTAAAACTTTTGGTTAAGGAATGAGGGGCGGAGCTAGAAGCCGTATGCTGGTTCGATCGAACCTAATAACTTTTGTTCGAATAGTATATTTGTATTAAAAAAACCCATTAAATATGCATAAATATTGACTTAGAACCCAGTTACTGGCCACTTGAAGTCGTCGTTCTAAAATACATAACCCATATAGTTGAAATCCTGGCTCCGCCTATGTGACTCTTATCATCCAAACATATTTTTCGGTGATGCGATGGGTTTAACTAAAGTTATCCTCTAGAATTTATTCTATTATGTTATTAAAGGGCAGGGACGTAGTCAACGCGAACTGACGACTCAATATTATGTTATTTTATTTTTGTAATGCTACAATTTGATCTTGATGTGCTTAGTTTGTTTCATAGGAGAAAGACTCTACTGTAGAACAGAGGAAGTGGAGTTATTAGAGGAGCTACATGGGGAGTTGAAAGCAAAAGAAGAAGCAATTGCATATTTAAAAGAAAGAATTGCTTCAATGGAAAAACAAGAAGTGAAGAGGGAGAGAGAAGTTGATATTTTGAGGCAAAGTTTGAAAATTATGAGCTACAACAGGAAGGGAACAATCCTTACCAAAGGTCATAACAAAAGCTAGCATTTATTAGAAGCATGTCATAATGAGTTATTATGATATATTATGGTTAATTCTTTATTAAAAGAATGGCTAATTTTGCTCGGAACGAGTTAAGTATGGCTACCTAGTGATTTACAAGCATTCTTACTGCACACTTGAACTATGCCCCTCATTTTCTTCTTGTGATTTACTATCTCAAATTTCACAAGAGTTGTACTTCTCCCCGCTCAATAGACTAAACTAAAGACACTCTGTATTAATAGTGAACAATAAATGGTTTTATAAAAATGCATAGATAGCTATACATGGTACATCAATACTTATATTTGATAGAAACAATAAATTTTTGTCGATACGAAAATCTTAATATCTTAGGGGATTGTCACAATATTTTTTTTTTTTAGCAAACAGGAAATATTTATATTAAAAAACTACGTAGCGTTCAGTACATGATTTCCATACTTTGTGTCACTAAGGACACATTAATTGCCTAAGCTTGCTAGGACATTGCAAGCATCATAAGATAGAAACTTAACAAAAACATAGTGATCTACTAGTTCACTTTCCACAAAAGATTTTACATAAGAAGGTGGTTCAACAAAATGTCTTTTCCCCTTTGTTTGTGCAGCAGCCTTCCTTGCCGGTTGATGAGCTATATTATTCTCTTGCCTGAATACGTGCTAGAGGGTTACCTCCTTCTGCTGGTGCATTAATGATCACGCCCAACTATGCCTTATAAAAAGGACAAGCGGTCGTTGCAAATATAATCTGAGTATTTAGCCCAGAGTCGAATCCACAGGGAATTAACCTACCAATTACTCTTGTTAGACTCACTAAATTCTTCGTAATCAACTTCCCAAATATTTTGAATAACAATTGGTGATACTTTTACTAACTATAACAGAACGAAATTAAGTAAACTAAAACTAACTATGATTGAGTTGTAAACAATTAAGAGAAGGATCTAAGGTTGTGATTTCCCCTATTGATGGAATCCCTTCCTGTTATATTTCATATAGATTTGCATAATCGTCTCTATTGATCATGAGCACTCTTACTACCGTAAATCTCTCCCGAGTAATTACGATAATTTACTAGACGCACTCTCCCGAGTTACGCTAGCTGGCTTTTATTATAGCTCACTTTAGATCACACCCAAGGCTTCGCTATCCCTAATCCCGCCTTTAAACCCTCGGTTATTGATCCCTCATATACTTTGGGAGTGGTGTTGTTCAATAATTACCTAAATATGCACTCTCTTCCGAGTAATACATACTAAATAGGCACAGCTAATTGAGGATCCTATCAATTAACTACAACAAGAACGTAGTTGAACAAATAGAGATTAAACTGGGCAAACTATATTAACATAACACGAAGTTCACTCTTCAACAGGTTCCATCAAAACCCTAGACAAAGTAATTAGCTACTCATAGCAAAACAAGATAAAATCACAAAAGTATTCATAATGTGCAAATAAAGATAACAAAGAGAAGATTGAAAAACTCTAATGGTTGCTTGTTCTTCTCACACTTGTTCTTGCCTCCAATTCAGTCTAAAAACAAGCTTAACCTTTGCTTGGGCGAGTTTGTTGAGTTTATAAAGGGTTAGGATAAGTTTTTCCCGATTTACACTTTAGTCCCCAAATTTCTGGGCGCTTACACAGTCGACCGCGGCCGCGGCAGAACGCGGCGCAACCGCGGTGAAATGCATCTACACTGCCTCGCCCGTTTGGCCTACCGCGGTCGACCGCGGTCGTGGTAGCCTCTTATCTAGTCATCCTTTGCCTCTTTCTTGCTTATTTTCGTTTGGGTTCTTCTTGATTGGCCTTATATCCACATTATTGACTCCAAAATACTCCATAGTCTCTTCCTAACTTGGATTAGTTCCTGCAAAGCAAAAGAACACCAATTAAAGTATTTTGTTATCATTTTGCATTTAAAACAACAATAAAGTATGGTACATTTGGAGTGTAAATAGCACCTATATAGCCTACTATCAATTAACAACCTGCATTCATTAACAATGTCATCATATAATCTGTTACCTTGTTGGATAGAGTGGATTACCTATGTGGAATCTGTCTCTATTTCAAGAGAGAACATTCCTCATGCTTGTGTTGTTTGGTGTCCCTCTAGGAGAGCCTTGATTTCTGCTTGTAATAATCCGTTAGCATGAGTCGATTTTGCAAAACCAACTACCCATTTTCCATTGGCAATCCTGAATACACCTCCCAGGCCACATTTTTGGTTGTTACTATTGAAACTTGTATCTATATTTAGTTTAAACCATCCTCTTGGTGGTCTATGCCATCTTACTTTTATGGGAATTTTTTGTGGAGAGTTTAGACTTTTTTCAGTGAGAAGTTTAAATTCAGTTGCCTTTTGAATAACTTGATCACTATTTATAGGATTGTCAGTATTGTTTTGATTGTTGTTATTTCTGTTTAACCAAATGTACCAGATGACAAAAGGAAAGAAAAAATTCCAATCTATAAAGTTGTTCTTTAGTGGATGGTCAAAAGCTTTTAATTGTAGAAGCCAGTGTTCATCTTGTGCTTTATAGTAGTTTTGCCACCCAAGACTATTGATCACGCCCAACTATGCCTTATAAAAAGGACTCTGCGGACGTTGCAAATATAACCCGAGTATTACGCCCAGGGTCGAATCCACAGAGAGTTAACCTATCAACCACTATCTTCAGACCCACTAATTCTTCAGAACCAGCTTCCCAAATATTTAAATCTCAGTTGAATGTTCTTTAACAACTACGCTTGCAAGTAACTAAATAGCTGTAAACTAAACTAATAAGGTTGTAAACAATTATGATAAAAAGCTAAGGCAATGATTTCCCCTATTGATAGAATCCCTTCTGTTTATGCTCATACAAATTTACCAACACATCTCTATCAATCATGAACGCTCATCTTACCGTAAATCTCTCCCGAGTAATCACAGTAATTTACTATTGCACTCTCCCGAGATACACTAACACTTTATTTAGCACGATTCACTTCAGATTACACCCAAGGCTTCGTTATCCCTAATCCCGCCTTTAAACCCGCAATTATAGATTCCTCTAATAATCTAGGAGTGGTGTTGTTCAACAATACCCTAAATATGCACTCTTTACCAAGTTATGCACACTAAATAGGCACATCTAATTGAGGATCCTGTCAATTAACTACAACAAACACGAAGTTGAACAAATAGAAATTAAACTAGCAATTTGTATTCACATAAACAAGAAGTTCATCACCCAATAGGTTCCATCAAAACCTTAGACAAGGAATTTAGCTACTCATGGCTATGGAAAATAAACTAAGATAGAATTCATCATAAAAATCAAAAGTAAAGAAGAAAGATGTTTGGAGTATTCTCTCACAATGGTTTTCCTTGCTAAGAACCCTAAAAATCAATACATCCTCTCTTGGGCGAAGTCTAATGTTTTAAATAGGGTTTAGGTCTAAAAATCCCGTATTTGACACTTTGACCCCTGAACTTTTCTGCGCCTGCCGCGGTTCTGCCGCGGTCGCGGTAGACCGCGGCCAATCACCCTCTCTGAATCTCTGAAGTTCTGAAGCTGTCTTCCACCGCGGTTCTACTGCGGTCGCGGTAGAACCGCGGCCAAACCATTTTTCTGAATCCTAAGGGCTGGCAGGGCGTAGCTTCATTGGGAATTTATACATTTGGCCTCTTTTCTCCAATTTTGACCCCAAAACTGCTCCTTAGCCTTCCTTATACATATATCACCTGCAAATCATGAAAAGCACTAATAAGAGCATTTTGTTATCATTTTTAGCATTAAAACTACACAAGAAGGTGATTATTTAAGGTGTGATTATAGTCAAATTCACCTATTATCAACACTCCACACTTAAACCTTTGCTCGTCCTCGAGCAAACTAAACCACACTTCTAGGCCTAACTGTTCAATGCATTGCCCCAATTTATGTCACACCTGCTATTGTCAATGATCGACCTAAGTAGAGCACAATCATATCTCAAATGCAGACTCTCATGCCAAGACACACTTGTGCTCACTCTAATTACTCTAACAGAGGTGAAGACTCACTTTTTCTTCCTGAGTCACATGCCCTCACATAAACAAAATCTGAGAGAAGTTCCACACACATAAAATTCAACAACAAGGAACCATACATAGAAAGAATTCACTCACTCTCAGCAAAGAGCATTCACATGCCACACAGACACACCATAAGCTTGCCCCTAGTGTAATACTCTACTAATCGAGTCATTCAGTCAAAGATCAAGAGGTCTTTATAGGTTGTAATGTAGGCTAAGGGACGGGTAGGATATATNNGGTTACTCAGACTTCACACCCGATGACACCAATATTCCCCTTAATTCATTCATACAACCTCCACAATAGCCCCATAATTTTCTTACCACTTCCGGCATAATACACCTCACACTTACTCCTTTCAATGCTACACATGAGATACAACACCACCATATAGCAACTACAACCATACCACCAATCAACTATACATCTTCAACCATCAATTACAACACCCCAAACCTAGGTTGGGCTTAACACACCCCAAAAATATACAACACAGTACCAAAATTTCGGCCAACACATGACCCAATACCATACTACACCACAAAAATCTAGTTTAGGCCTCCAAGCCACCAAAACAACTTCACAATTATTTAATAATGGAGACCCAATCAATTTGGCACCAAACAACCTCATAAACATCAACTACAACAATGGCAAACATAAAAGAAAGCAAAAAAAATTCAAATTTTTACACTAATCCTAACTAGGGTTTAGTTGAAACTAATAACTTAAACAAAATACACTACTTAGAAGAGAAAGAAATAGAGAGAGAGAAGAATAACTTACTTGAGTTGAAGAGAGGGAGAAGTGGAGGTGTGTTAATGGAGGTTGGGGAGGAGGGGGGGTGAAGGAGAAGGAAGAGAAGAGAGATTGTTGGTAGATGAGTTTAAGAGAGAGGAAGAAGGAATGGGAAGAGGGGG